TCCTGACCATCCACCTTCCTTGTTCGATTCTCTGCAGCACTCATCACCACACTACATATGTATTAGTTTCCTGTTGTTGCAAAACAAAGTACCATACATGTAGTGCCTCCAACAACACAAACTTACTACCTCACATTTCTGTGGATCAGAAGTTGGGCAGGCTTGGCTGCTTTCTCTGCTCTGGGTCCCTGCAGCTTGAAGTCAAGGCATCAGCTGCCCAGGGAGTATCTTACCCAGAGTCTCTGAATGATAATCTGGTGCCAGGCTCATTCAGTTTGTTGAAAGGTCCCTGGTTTCTTTCTGGCTGTCTGCTGAGGCTTGTTCTTAGCTTCTGGAAACCAGCTGCATTCTTTGGCTGGTAGCCCCTTCAACTTAAAAGCCAGCAAAGGCAGGTTGAGTCCCCCTTGGGCCACATCTCATCTGCCTTCCTCTTTTGTAAGGGCCCTTGTGACTACACTGAGCCCACTCAAATAATCCAGGATAATCTTCCTGGTTTAAGGTCATCTGTGTAGCAAACTTAATTCTAGGTTCAAAGTCCCTTTTGCTATGTAATGTAATATATTCACAGGTGTGTAATAGTGGTGGCAAAAAGCATGAGGGACAATATTCTGCCTATCACAACATATTTTCTTAGTTATTTCATTTGTTGTCAATATCCTCTTCCTAGAATCTATGAGGGCAGGGATCTCTGACTCTTTGGTGCCCCCAAACCTAGAACACTGCCCCTGGCACATAGTGTGCATTCAAATATTTGCTGAATAAATGAATGCATACTATAATTAGTATCAACATCTGCCCTCCCTCTGATAAACATCTCAAACTTCCTTTTTAAAAGATGGCCTTGACCTTCCTTTTAACTGAGTTTATCCAGTCAGTGTGGTTTCCCCTGCCTCCCCACTTGCACAGCGGGTCATAGCTCCGCTAGTTGAGTATTGGCAATACGGTTCCATATTTTCATGGAACCTCCTAGTTGACACATAAGAGACACCTCCAGGACATGAGGTACACTGGGAGCCACAGAATGGAGCAATGTTCAGAGGCCAACACAGGCTATGAAGCTTCAGGCACTACTCAGTGGAGCTACGACTGAATGGAATACAGTTCCATTAAGGAATGGAATACTATCCCTATCTTCAGGGATAGTAGAGCTAGTCATGGAAATGTGTTAAGCATTGTTTTGCCCAGTAAAAAAAAAAAAAGACTTAGTCTGCACCTGTCAATTATCCAATGAAAATTTTAAAAATTGAATTACCTGGATGTTTCCACAGACTTCATCTTAATAGTATGCTGACAGCCTAAATCCTAGGATGATAAAGATATGAGCTTGTGTGAAAAGTGTGAACCATACACAGATAACAGAATCGCTATTTGGGTTATAGCATGGGAAAAAAAAATCTCTGGAAACAGGTTTGTGTATTAGTTTTTCACTTTGCCACCAGATGTCCTTCATGAGTAGGAAAATATGATGACTTGAATGATATTTTGAAGTGTGAATACCCAGCATTTTTGAATAGTTGACAGTGAAAGGAAAGTGTGAGTGAATGTAAATGTTACCACAGGCTTTGGATGAGGCACATATTTTGAAGGCCACCTTCCAGGTGTAGCTTTCAGAAGCAATATTTATTCAACTCTCCAATTTTCATTTCTCACACTCTACAAATATTTACTTAACATATTCCCTTTTTACTCAACTCCAAATTGGTATTCTAAAAATACAAGCAAATTATTATATTTAGAAATACCCAACTCCTTACATTAATATTAGGGATAAAAATGTAGTCATTTTAAGTGGAGTTTTCCCCAAGGATTCAAGGTGATCAGACCTTGGGCTTTTTGACACAGGTGCAGCATAGCTCTAACACTTACATGTTAAATTAATTCTAAAAGCAGCAACTTACATCTTCAGGAAAGTCAGCTGAAAGGTGCCACGGTTTGTTTTCATATAAAATCAAAGACTGAAATTGCATTTTATTGCCAATAATATAATTCAAAGGAAAAGTATAGAATATTTAACATATCACATTTAAAAACAGCATCTTTTTAAAACAAATTATTTAGTCATGTGTGTTGTAAATGTATAATAGAAACCTTCAAAATATAAAAAGAAACAAGGATAATTGCTGCTTTCAAAAATTTGTTGTGAATCACCCTGTGCATTACTGAACGCTCGGGTATAGGATTCTCTCCCTAGCCTCAGTATCGCCAGAGGCATGGGATGAACCTGTGCTTTATAGTGAAGGTTCTTCACTCCATTAAGGAGGAGGTAGTGAGACAGGCAACCTATTTCCAGAAAACTGACAGCCATCTGCATGAAATATCAGCCAAGCAACCAGATGTTTGGTATGGATTGGCTCCCACATCCGGCTTCTTGACCCAGTTCTTCCTCTTTCCACCCAGATGTTTTGGTGACAGTTACAGAGAACTTCATGAAGCTTGTCCAGTGCCGAGGAAGGAGCAGCAATATTTTGGTGTCCTGCAGGGGGAGAAGTTACCTCTGATTTTTCTCCAGGCGGTTAACACATTCCAGCAAATTCCAAAGCCAGACCTGCTCCTCTCCCTTCACACCACCTGGCCTGAATCGCGTCTGTTCTTTGTCCAGCTCCCTGTCCTGAGACTTCATGGGAGCACCGGGTTGTGTGGTGGGGATGGCTCACAGAAATAGGCAGTGGGTGAAGTGGTGGTGAGGGGTTCCTCACCCACCAGGAGTTCCAACTGGCTTAGAAAAGCAGTGGTCCCAAATGTTGAGGTTATTAAAGTTTTAAACCCACATCTCTTCATCTTCTTTGTCTGTAATGGAACCAAGGGCATTTCTGAGTGTTTTTCTGACAATCATGAGCACATCCTCTTTTGTGGCCCTCAGTTGAATGTCAGTGTCCTCAGGATCATTTTCATAACTCACTTCACATGTTTTTCTTTCTGGCTCTTCACAGAGTTGTGTGCTCTTCTGTTCATCACCAGTGCCCCCCTTTTCTAGAACTATACAAGAATGGAGAGACCACATTGGCGTGGATGGGGAGCCCATGGCAGACCTCGATCAGGGTTGCTGCTCAGATGTTTTTAATTGGTAATAAATAGCGAAGTGCCATTTTAGACCCCTGTCATATAGGTGCATCTACCTCTCACCAAGTAGCTGAGAAAATGGGATGATTGTGTGTGTGTGTTTTGCCACTAGATCATATATGCATTTACAAAAGGTGAATAGGGGTGGGTAACAGTCAGCTTCTGTGTTTTATATGGTGTAGCCCTACCTAGATGCATTTGTCTATCCTCAGGGTTTTTACGGTTTTCCTAGTCCCTTCCCCACTGCCCTTATAGACTGGAACTGCTTTCACTCTGCTTATGCATCATTGGAAAGCTTGAAAAGAAGGTGAGAGTAAGTTTGAGAAAAGAGGAACTTGGCAGGAAGCCTACATATACTTACTGAGATTTCAGATGCTCTGACTAGAAATATTGGCTGCTGTGATCTTATGCACTGCAATGATTTTATGCTCCTAACAAGTCCTGCACAGAGAAAGAAGTGATGTAGGCTCTTGAATTCCAAGTGTCCTAGCATCCCAGACCAAGTAGTGTTGTATTCTCTTTTCAGATGAAAAGAATCCCTGCAGATGGTTCAAGACTGGCCTCCAGTGTTGCTGAAACTGTCTTGCCTGAGTTCAATGGCCATGGGACATCTGTACAATTAAAGAGTGTCTTAAATGACCACTCTGTATGGGCCAAGACAGAAGGTGAAAGATGGTAAGAGGTAAAGACCCTTAGCCATGTAAAAACAGATTCTTTGAAATAAGATAAAATACCAATAAGTTTTTGGATCAGCAGAAACCCCATGATCTCAAAGTCCATGAATCCCATATTCTGGCTCTCAAATGCCTTGGACTAGTGAACTAGGGCTGCCAGATTTTTGTTTTCTATCTCAAGCACTTTTCACCAGGTAAAAGATCCTAATGTTTTAAGTGAGTTTGCCCAGGGTCCATAGATTACTGAACATTCTTGGCTAGTAGTATAAAGCAAATAAATTTGCATCCTGAAAGGTAATGGTGGTGGTGGTGGTGGTGGTGGTGGTGGTGTTTGGTAGAATGGGCAGTGTCTTTGACTGAGACGTGTGACTGTCATGAAAGCAAAATATGTGTTTTACAAATTTGATCTTGTCTAATGCTCACAGCAATCTGAATTTCAGGGCCCTGCCTACCATAACGAACAGGAACATTCCAAGTTCCTACCCTTTTGGGAATTAGCTTTACCATCTTGCCTCAAGTTTTATTTATCTGGCATAGAGTATCCAGCATCTACTGTATTTCAATACAGTAAAATGCACTGTTAACAAACTGGAGAAGCATTGAAACATTTTCAGAAAAGTGGGGGGGGCGCTTTTTAATTATATACGTGATTACAGCCTCTTTTTTTTGGGTGCTAGCTTAAGAAGCCAAGCCAAAGACCAAATGAAAAGATAAGTCAAAATATTTGGCACATGCCTGAAGCCTCCAGACACTGGGTCTGGCTTATATTTGGCCCTCTCCGTGGCCAGTTTGTGAGCAGCTTCTAGGAGGGTGTGTCCTAACTTGCAGCAGCTGCCTTTGAAAGCCACATGTCCGCTAAAAGCCTATTTTACATCAGTAAGAGAAACTAAGACAAGAATGAGAAAACTATCATTTTTTGGTTCTTCCTGCATCCAGGCTGCATTAATTTAACAGCTGGTTTTGCTCTTATTTAGTTAATGCATCGATTTGTGTGATCCTAAAAGATAAAGGTTCACATTGAGGTGCGGGGTCATTTTTACTAGTGATGACTTCTTTGCCTTCGCTACCTTGTGGTTCTTTGGGTGCCTGCTAAAATTCTACGTGCACTTGAAACCTACGCGCCGCCCAGGCTACGCTTCACGGGAGAGAGGGAGTGAAAGGAGGGGCAGACCTATTTAAATACGGGAGAGACGAGCCTCTCCATTGGCTGCCCGCCTGTCCGTTACCCGAGAGGGCGGGGCGTCCAGTGGGCTGGAGTGTGGTACCTGAGTGAGAAGCGCACCAGAGAGCCCACGTTGGCTGCTGCCGGGAGCGCAGCGTCGAGAGGCGAGAGGCGGGAGACTGCGAACCGGGCGCCGACGCTGCGGTCACTGCTCCGCACACCGGCCCACTTCCCTCTCATTCTTTCTGGGAGCGGAGTCTGGAGGGCAGCCGGGAGAGCACTGAGCGGAAAGGAAGATCCCTGCAGCCTCCGCTTGGGGAATAGAGCAGCACGCGGAGCTTTGGAGGGGAGCGACCTTGCCGGAGGTTGGAGGGGCGAGGATTTGTGAGTGAGAAGGGAGTCAAGCCCCAGGCAGAAGATTGGCATCTCCGGACTCCTTGTCCCCACAGCCTGGGCCGGCCCCACGGCGGGGTAAACTTCGCAGCCGCTCTGCGAGCCAAGGAAAGACGTGCGCGGCGATGCTGCCCGGCATCACCTCGAGCTGGTGAGCGGCCCCACCCCCCGCCGCCCGGTGTCCCACTCCGCGGGGCGCAGGCAGCGAGGCCCGAGAGCTACCGCTCCGTGACCTGCCTCGGACGAGGGCGCTGGCCACGGCTCAGCCCGGACTCTGACGCACCTGGCCTGTACCTTGCACTTCCAGGGACCTGCGCGGGAGTGTGGTTCTCCTGGTGATCTCCCCCTTCGCCGCCCGCCCCCCGCATCCTGGGCAATTGGGGGCGCCCCAGTGGACCATGAGAGATAAGGACTGAGGGCCAGGAAGGGGAAGCGAGCCCGCCGAGAGGTGGCGGGGGCTGTTCTCGCCAAGGGCCACAGCGGCAGCACTCCGGCTCCACGCCTTGCGGGGCCCACGGGGCCAGCCCGGCCGGGCGGGAATGCTGGGGCTGGGACAGAGGGCGCAGTGGCTGTGCTGGTGGTGGGGGCTGCTGTGCAGTTGCTACGGGCCCCCGCCGCTGCGGCCGCCCCTGCTCGCCGCCGCCGCCACCGGCCGCGGGGCACTGCTCGTGGATGGCGGGAGCCCGGGCCACGCGGAGCCGTCCTCCTCCTCCTCCTCCTCCTCGGGCTTCCTCTACCGCCGGCTCAAGACGCACGAGAAGCGGGAGATGCAGAAGGAGATCCTCTCGGTCCTGGGTCTCCCTCACCGGCCCCGACCCTTGCACGGCCTCCAGCCTCCGCAGCCCGCAGCACTCCCGCAGCAGCAGCAGCCTCGCGGGGACCCCCCTCCCGGGCGGCTAAAGTCCGCGCCGCTCTTTATGCTGGATCTATACAACGCCCTGTCCAACCAGGACGAGGAGGGCTGGCCGTCAGACGAGGAGAGGCAGCAGCCCGGGCCCCGGAGAGAGGCCAGTGCATCCCAGCCCCGGCAGCAGCCTCTCGGAGTGGCGCACCCCCACAACCGCAAGAGTCTCCTGGCCCCGGGACCTGGAGGCAGCGGCACGTCCCAACTGACCAGCACGCAGGATAGCGCCTTCCTCAACGACGCAGATATGGTCATGAGCTTTGTGAACCTGGGTAAGGATCTGGGGTAGCGTACGATCCCCGTTTTCCAGTGTTCCGGGCTTGGGGCTGTGCAGGCTGAGAGGGTGGAAGAGCCCTTGGCGCTCGAGTGGGGGCTGGCGAGGCGGGAACGCGAGAATGGGCGGCCACGCTCCTGCCACCTGCTCGGCGAAGGGCCGCTCGTGCAGCTCCCAGAGCCCCCGGCCCGGCACCGGTTGAGGTGCGCTCTGCAGGTGCGTCTTTTCGGGCGCCCGGAGCACGTTCAGCGCGGTTTTCCCAGCAGTGCGCGGCTTGGGCCAAGTTAGACTGTAGGAGAAGGTCCGGCCCGAGTGTAGTCAGTCGGGAACCGGGAACGGGAAGGCCCTTCGACACGCTTTCCCCTCCTGTTGCCTTTTGCACCCTTAACGCGCTGAGTGCCAGTTTTCCCACCGGGACTTGTAGGGAGTCCCACGGCAGCTGAGAGCTTCGGAAGCTTTGTGGTTGTGTTAAGTGGCATCCACGGAACTGGGGATGGAGGGTTACAGAGAAAGGCGCTCCAGGTCCGGCCCGGCGGGGCAGGTTTGGGACTGGATCTCTAGCCCAGCTCCGGAGTAACCAATCCAGTAAAGTTTCTCATGCCTTTGGCCAATGCCCCCAAAGGCTGAACTTCTGATCAACGCTGCCCAAGCCTTACGGGCAGAGAAAGCGTGCGGGTTAGGGGGCCGGGGTTGGACGCTGAGCTGGTGTGAATCGGTTACCAGGCAACAGAATGGAAATTTAAGGGCGGCTAAATCGAGCTCAGCCACAAGTGTCTGTGGCAAACCCCAACGAAGGTACGTAGCCTGCCCTCGCCCCACTCCCAAGTTTTCTAATCTGTAAATGAGAAGGCGGCAAGGAAGGCTCCCCCCCCCGCCCCCGTCAATGCAGCCGATTTGTGCACTTCTTCGTTCATAAGCTGGTTCAGTTTAACGTACACAAAGGGATGGTGGGGATGCGCTCTCCACCGCAACAAATCAGGGTGCAGTAGCCACGCCCGGGTGCCACTGTAAGGTGCAGCCCCGTGGGCTTCCTTTCCCGTAGGACGCGTGGCTCTGCCCAGCCCCAAAGTGGGTTAGCAGACACTTCCCAAAGAAGCACGCACATCGCCAAGTCAAAGGCCTCCGTCCGTCATTTAAGGACATTATTTACTTGGATGACTACCATGTAAAATATTCTGGCGAGTTCTTTACAAATCTATCTATAGGATGATCCTTAACTCCGCTGAATTTTAGGGGAAGAAAGGTGGAATGGGGGGGGGTGCAGGGGGCGAGGATGTGCAGCAGAACGATTGGCATCCGAGTGGTGCAGAAGTCCTCCTGGGAAATTCATGAATCAGAATCTCACAGGCTCAAGGCTTGCCAATCCTGCTACTTGAGGTGCCAGGGGTTCTGATGGGACAAGAATTTTCACAATTTATTGGAACCGAATCCAAGGTTGAGCTACTTCCAGGAAGCATTCTAAAGAAATTCTCCTGCCAGTCAATACAATATGGGGGGGGGGGTACAGAGCACAAGCGCTGTTCCTTATTCTAACATCTCTGATTCTTCCGGCTTAGTAAATTCCACCTGTTGCCCGCTCCCTCACCCTGCCCCCACACCAGATTTCCCTGGCGGTCTTGGGGAAACGTTTTATTGCCTCTTGTGGGTAGTCCCAACCTGGACGAAGTGGAACCAGAGAATCTTGTTATAGTCTGCCGAAAAACAGTTCCTGAGTTGGGCCCGTGATCGTCCACCTTGGCTGCCCATTAGCACACCTGAGGACACTTAACAGAACTAAGGATGCTAGGGCTTCTCCTTGCAGCAAATAAGTCAGAGGTTTTGAGGGTGGTCGCTCTCCCTCCCCCCCCCTTTCTCTCCTCTCTTTCTCAGTGCCTCAGGCTTTTTTAATGTGCTACCATGATCAACAAGCACTGGCATAGGAGATTCAGATGTGCGGAGGAAGTCAAGAAATCATCCCAGTACATGATTAAGAGCAGTGCTTCCTTATGTTAATGGCTCCCAAATGGTGCTACACATTTCAGTTGGCTGGGTGCTTAAAAAAAAATCTAGATGCCCAGGTGGTATCCATATCAATTAAATCTGAATGTGTGTGGTAGAACCCAGGTATCAGTATTTTTAAAGATCCCCAAGTGATCCTAATGTTTGGGAACTACTGCCTTGGATGGTATTTGAAATTGTGAGAGTCGGCCTGAGGCAAGTTTATAAAGTACCCTGACAGTGACTGTGTTTAACGACCTCCAAATTCTCCTCCTCCCTTGCGTTTCTGACCTTTCCTGGTCTACAGGTACACATTGCTTCTGAGTCCCACTGCTTGAAGTTGGTTGCCAACTAATCCTGCTAAAGTGATGGTTTAACACAGTACTTCCCCAGGGATGCTTTCATTTTTTCATAAAGGATTGTTAAAGATCCAAAAAATACCATTGAAAATTTTCATATTTCAAGAGAATTCAACAATACTAGTGTTAATTTCAATCCTCCCCTCCCTCCCAGGCTGATATAGAACTGATAGAAATTCACAGGTAGGCAACTCTGCCCCAATCCCCTTATGTCAAGCCACTGGGCTTTCTGACTATAAGTTGTAAGTACTAATCTGTAGGTCCGGACCTGGACTCCACCTGGGTGCTTAGAGGAGAAAACCTTTTCCAGATAAGTGGAACTGAAGCCATAAAGCCAGGCCACCTGCTAGTCAAGCAATTCTATTTAATCTTAATCCATTTCACAGTAGGAAAAGGGGACTCATAATAAGAGGCTAAAATGGCTCTGAGTAGAAGGACAGTTCATTTGAAGAAAGTAACTGCTTAGCAGTGTGGATTCTTTAAATAAGGATGTTGGGAGAATTCCACAGATTTCCCAATCTGTGTCAATGGCATGTTAGCTGATGCACTGCATGACTTTTCTATTAAAGAGTTTACAGGAAGATCCATGTTACAGTTTTGTGTTTTAAACTACTCTTACACTCATTGAGTTAGATAGATTATAAACTGGAAATATAAGGGAAACATAGCTATAGAAATCATTTTTCCTTGGGGCTAAGGAATAATTTACTCATGAAATACATTTAGCCCTGGCTGGTGTGAGTCAGTGGATTGAGTGCCAGCCTGAGAATCAAAAGGTCGCTGGTTTGATTACCAGTCAGGGCACATGCCTGGGTTGTGGGCCAGGTCCCCAGCAATGGATCCACGTTTCTCTCACACATGGATGTTTCTCTCTTTCACTTTCGCCCTCCCTTTCTTTCTCTCTAAAAATGAATAAAATCTTTTAAAAAATACATTTTAAAAAACTCGGATCCTTGTCAGCTAGAGTGATTATCAGAAAGTATAAGTCAACAGCATTAATTTCTCTTGCATATCCCAAATGCTGGTCACTGTTGTTTGCGCTGACCGTTTAAACTCCCTCCAGGTAAACAGGCCGGGGGTGTGTGTAAACTCCTAAGTGCTAAGTGAAACTTGTGTGCAGAGTGCTGGTGGAAGCTGGTGTACTCATGAACCTGCATTCAATCAGGGCCACAGATGCCATTTCCTACTTGTTTTCTAATGCTAAAAATGTCTTGGCAGCCTAATAAACAAGGCTGCCAATTTGGTGACCTTGGAGAAGTATCCTGAAATACCCTTCGGGTCTTAGCTCAAAATTCACCTTCTGAGAGAACTTTTCTCTAACCACTCTACAGGAGTCAGTGCTCCCCCCATCCCGCCCCAACTCCATCACCATCACAGCACCCTGTTTATTTCCTTGGTTGCACTTATCACAAGGAGTATATATTTTTCTTTTTAAATTTGCTTACTCATTATTTGTCACCACTCTGGGATATCAGCCTCAAAAGGCTTATCTGCCCTTGTAATGTAAGTTCCTAACACAATGCCGAGCACATAAGAGCTGCTTAATAAAAATTGAGTTAATGAAAACACAGGCATATCTCTTACTTAAAATTTATATTTCACTAAGGTGGTGATCATTTAGAGATGATAACCTCTAAGTAAATAAGTGAAGGCATTTAGGATATTGAAGTTTCATGGTATTTGATGTCTATCATAATGCTTCATTAATAAACTTCTTTTGCATTAGTTACCCATATGTACATTAGTTTGTAATATGCATTACATTTGAGACCAGTGCAAAGGCTTCTTTAAGTCTCTGCATTTCAGGCTTCATTTATTTATTTTGAATTAATGAGGTGTTGAACTCCAGATGCTAGGATAATATGAAATAAAAAAACTCAAATTATGCTCAAAAAAGGGAATCAGTATGTATTAGTACAAGTAATTAGTACATTTTCTTGTACTGAAAATACTGGCAATCTTCCAACAAAATCACTCCAGGGAAACATAAATTAGAAGAAAAATGGAAATATTCTTTACTTGTATGTGTAACCAGATACACTATATTGTCTTTTTCTCATAAACATAGGATCAGTGGTACTATTTTTCATTTAAGCTTCCTGTACTTATGAAGGAAGGTGTTTTTATTTTTTTATTTTTTAACTTTAGAGGGAAGGGAAAGAGAGAGGGAGAGAAACATCAATGTATGGTTGCCTCTCATGCATCCCCTGCTGGGAACTGGCCTGCAACCTAGGGATGTGCCCTGACTGGGAATCAAACCACAATCCCTTAGTTCACAGGCCCACGCTCAATCCACTGAGCTACACCAGCCTGGGCTGAAGGAAGGTTTTTGTTAGCAGCAAATAAACCCATGTCTGCAAGCTACTCACAGCAAAAATAGTTTGGAGAGAGTGGTTCAAAGAAGAGTAGATTTTTTCCTAAAGAGATTTAAAATAGTAAATGTGAAATTCAGTGGTATTTCAACAAAAAAGTTGTACAAAGTGTTCTTAAATGCAGATCAAAGGGCAAGCAGATATCATTGTTTAGACCTCAAATGGTGTTTCCTCTGGTTGTCCTTCTAAGAATGGGTATAAATCCTTTTTAAATATGCTGAATCATGCTCAGTTCCTCTTCTGAAGAACTTACCTCTGATTCGCATGGACAAAAGGACTCTCAGTGGTAC